GAAAGGGCAGAAGCCGATCTGTTTTGGTAAAGTCAAACCCGAACAACTCAAACGAGCAAGTTCAGAGGATGACGACGGAGTTCCCCAATTCCATTACCACGAACCCAATTCTATATACTTAATGAAATGAATGGGGTATAACTTTAATGAGAAACAGGGCTTGAACTTCGGGAAAGGAAGACAAACCCCGATCCGAATGTCTCTCACTCCTGAAGGAAAACCTCCGGATTATTATCAAAAAACCGGAATAGGCGTGGGTTACGTTACACCTCCCCCTGCTTCGGAAAACGAAATCAGTAATTACCTGCGTCACGACCATTCATCTGGAACATCTTCATACGAGTCTGACGTCAGTGTTGGACCTTTCTTTAAAAACCTGACTGTGAACATGGTTTCAACTAGTCATCCAGATGAAGACGCAGGGGGTGACGAGGAGTTGATGGAATCGACCAATGATCCTTGGATCAAACGTCTCAATATCTTGTAGGATATGCGATTCGAACAACGCGAACCACCCACTGAAGATAAAGTGATCCAGGTCAACATGGGAGATGAACATGATCCTAAGCCCATATTCATAGCTGAAGACTTGTCATCATCCGAAAAAGAGGACCTTACATCTCTCATCCGAGAATATATAGATGTCTTCGCTTGGAACTATGAAGATATGCCTGGCCTTGACCCGAAGGCTGCCATGCACCGTCTCAACATTGATCCGGACGCGAAACCCGTTAAACAACAACAACGTAGGTTTCGTCCAGAGATCATGGAATCAATTGAGTCAGAAGTTAAAAAGCTTATAGACTCAGGTTTTGTTAGGGAAGAGCAGCACCCAGACTGGGTGGCCAACATTGTTCCAGTTCCCAAAAAGAATGGTAAGGTCCGGATATGCATCGATTTCCGCGAACTCAATGCCGCTTGTCCGAAAGACGAATTCCCGCTTCCTATCACGGATGTTATGATTGACAACACCTGCGGGTATGAAAGGATGTCTTTCAAGGACGGATTCTCTGGGTACAATCAGATCAAGATGCACCCGGACGACGAAAAGCATACTGCTTTTAGAACACCGCTGGGGGTATATTGTTACACAGTGATGCCCTTCGGCCTGAAGAATGCAGGTGCAACTTAGCAGCGTGCAATGAACATGATCTTTCACGNNNTGTCAAAAAGCATTCGAGGAGATTAAGAGATATCTCACTCAACCGCCAGTTCTCGTGGCCCTGATATCAGGAAAGTCATTCCTGTTGTATGTGAGAGCCATGGACCATTCTCTTGGAGCTTTGTTGGCCCAGAACAACGATCAGGGTCAAGAACAAGCCATCTACTACCTGAGCAGGACTATGATGGGAGCCGAACACCGGTACAATCCGGTCGAAAAGGAATGTCTCGCCTTGGTATTCGCCATTCAAAAGATGCGACATTACCTAGTTGGACAGACAATTCACGTCATCTCCAAAGTGAATCCCTTGAGAGTTCTGATGACGAAACCATCATCTCTGAATTGCCGGCTTGCAAAATAGGCCATTCTCTTGTCGCAGTACGACATGCAGTTCATGCCCCAAAAGTCGGTCAAGGGTCAAGCACTGGCCGACTTCTTAGCTGATCATCCAGTATCGGGAGCATCTAAGTTGTATGAAGAATTACCCGACGAAGTCGTCGAAGCTTGCACTACTCAAGAAGCTACGCAAGTGTGGAAGTTATTCTTCGACGGTGCATATAGAGCAAATCCTCCTGGAGCAATCACCGCGGGAGTAGGAGTAGTATTAATCTCTCCGAACGACCATGTAATTCCCAGAGGATTCTCCTTAATCGAACCTTGCACTAACAACGTAGCCGAGTATAATGCTCTGCTATTGGGAATGCAATTTGCTGAAGAACTCAATGTTCGACACCTTGAGGCTTACGGTGACTCGAGGAGAATATGAAGCACGTCATGAGGATTTGATCCCGTATTACTTCGCAGTGCTAGAGCAAGCTCAAAAGTTCGAAGGTTTCTTCATCGAATATATACCACGAGCTCAGAATGCTTATTTAGATGCTCTAGCCTCCTTGGCAACCTCATTAGCATTGCCACCAAAGACTGAAACAACGATTCCAGTCGCGGGACGGAAACTATACTTTTCTAAAATTCCTACAGAAGAAAACTCAGACGAGACACCGTCAGGAGAAGTCTGTACAACCTCTATGGAGTTTGAATCCAGGGATTGGCAATTCCCGTACATCGACTATGCCGTATATGGAATTCTGCCAGAAGATCCTAAGGAAGCGGCCTCTATCAAACGAAAGGCCCTCCGATTCTATTACGACGCAGTCTCTCAAGTCCTGTATCGTAAATC